GTCTTTATACAAGACACCTAAGCTTTCAGAGCTAGTGTCACACCAAACAGAAAGCTTGTTATGACCCCAACTCTCAGAATCCTTGCACCCACACTTCTGAGAATTATATTATTTATAAGTGTTTGAATAAGTAAGAGAATTATATTATTTATGTGATTTAGAATTGGATCCATTTTCTTGATAGGGAATTGCATGTTTTTATGCATGTAAAAACTATATTTAATTACAAAATAATATTTGATTGAGTATTGGTGATGTAATTGGTGAGTTACTGTAGCAAATTAGTTTCTCATTTGACAATGTTCATACTAACCAGTGACATTATAGGTACACTGATCACAATAGGTCAACATTCTCTCTTAAATATTTCCAGTACTTTACCTTTCCTGCCTGCTTATCTTCTTACCTTAGGTTTTGAGTAATTGTTAATCATTTGATCTTATAAGGTAGTTTTTTGGTGTTTGATTTTTTATAAGTAGAATACCTTATAGTCAATATCCCTTAATCTGTGGGTATGGCAAGATTTTAAACAAATATGTGTTTATCCTGAAAAATATTGTGTTGTTGCAACCATCTTTGAGCTATAAGCAGAAACCATCTTATGCTTTTCCCTAAAAAATAATTAAGCCAGTTGTCGTGTTGTTTCTAATGGCAAAACCAAATGTGTCGATGTCGAAGGATGCTCCATAGGTTATTCAATTCCTGTGACCTTTTAAAGATCATCAGGCCTCTCCAGAAGTGCCTCTGAATGGATTTGACTCACCAATCCTCTTTTAATAGCTGAGAACGTAGGCTCTGTGCACATAGGAATTCCTATGCTTTTTGCCCCTTGCACCATGAATATAATTTGTCAAATTTCTGCAGGAGAAACATAAGTGTTTCTGCTTCTGTAAATATTTACACCACCAGAAACCATAGGGAGCACTTTTACTCTGTCCTACAGGGTTGCTATAAATCAGAACTGGCTCAATGCAGTAAATTTGGTATGGGTTTTAGATAGAGGAGACGTAGGTTTTATTCCTAGCCAACTCACCTCATCGTGCAGCCATTACCAATCTGTCAAATCACACTAAGCAGGCTTTGGGGAGCTTCCACAAAAAGAGAGACCTGGAAAAAAGGCCTGGCAACCACTTCTGAAAATCATCCACTGGAAACCCTCTGGCACACAGCAGTCTGAGCTACAACCAATTACAGGGATGGTGCACATTGGGGCAGCGTTTTCTTCCACTGTGCATGGGGTCACTATGATTTGAGGGTCAACCCCACAGCAACTAAAAATAGTACTGAAAAATTATCTGAAATGCATATATAAGAGGGCTTCAAAAATGTAGGTGGACCAATGGAATTGAAAAATAATGGAATTTTCTCCTGAACTTTTTGTAGCCCCTTCATATTTCCCACTCAAGACTATTAACTCCTAGAGGGAAGAGTCATCATAGCCTTTAATAAACCCAAATCTAGCCCAGGTCCTGGTTGAAGAGGTCAGTAAGTATACTTTGAATAGCATTTCGTACCAGATGGGCATCTTCTTTTCAGAGAACTCCATGGTTTTAAGCAGCAGTTGTTGTGGGGTGCTGTGGAGTCAGTTCTGACTCAGTGGCAATTCAATGCACAGCAGGGCAAAGCCCTGCCCGGTTGTGTGCCATCCGCACAATTGTTATAATTTGAACCTATTGTTGCAGCCAAAGTGTCAATCCACCTCCTTAATCATCTTCCTCTTTCCAGATTCTTTACTTTTGCAAGTCGGCTGTCCTTTTCCAGGCACTAGCCTCTTTTGATAACAAAGCTGGCCAGTGATGGTTGGGAGCTGGGGTGCAGTAGAGGTGAAGGGCAAGGCTAACTTTGAGGTGACACCAAGGAACGAGGACATGGAAGATATACTCATCAAACATTTCCCTGGTGACCCTTCAAAATCAGTCTTGACCTCACCGCTACCGTTTCTTTGCCCCAAGAAGCACCACTGACATACTTCGCCTGTTCCAGAATTTCATCAAATATCTATCTAGTGTTCACATTTCTGGTTATAGCAAAAATGTCTTACTATTGCTTAAGTCAAAATTCAAGTGAGAGCCATCCACTGAAAATGATTGATTTCTCCACTAAATCTTTGTTTCCTTTTTTCTTCCTCTCACCTTCTAATAATTTGTTGAGTCTGGGTACTTGGTCCTGACAGTCTATTTTTCAGATTACATCCCATACTGTTGTTTGACATATCCCTGTCATTTACTTTCTATATATGAGGGGGTACCCGCCCCCCATCAATTAAAAAAAAAACAGGAAAAAAGCTCTGCTGGGCAGAACTTTTGTAGTACACATTTTTCCCCACTTAAGCAAGCATCAAGCAACTCGTTCTGAGTTAGTGTACCCAGTGGCACTGCCTGGGAAGGTTCTCTCTGGACACAGTGAATTTTTTCGTAAAAGCAGTTTAGCTCGAACCTCATTTTTTTGTGATGGTTGATTTAAGAGAACAGCGTGAGACTGTGACATTTTGTTTCCTGCTCAGGAGCAGGATGATGTTGAACATAGTTTATGATGTTGAACATAACTCACAAGGAGAGCGCTATGGGAAAAACTCAAGTGTATGAGTGGTTTTCTCACTTCAAAAAAGGTGAAATGTTGATTGATGACAATTGGTTGTGGACATCCACCTGCTTCCCGAAGGACGAAAATGTCAAGACTCATAGTGCACTTGGAGTTCATTCCACCAGGTCAGACTGTTAATCAAGTTTTCTATTTAAAGGTTCTGAAAAGATTTCTTAACAGTGTGGAACAAAAAAGGCCTTATCTGTGGCAGACGAGGGGCTGGTTTTGCCACCACAACAATACACTTGCTCACACAGCCATCTCAGTGCTCCAGTTTTGGGCAAAAAAGAGCATGGCTCTCTTTCCCCAAGCACCTAACTTACCTGACCTCGCTATGTGCAACGTTTTGTTTCTGTGAATGCAGATGGACATGAAAGCACAGAGATTTGATGATGTAGCCAGCAGAGGTGAAGAAAAAAATGAGGGAGGTGCCGTTAGCCATACAAACAGCTAAGTAAAAAATGTTTCCAAGAATGGAATTGCAGATTTGACAAATGTAATAGAGAGTACTTTGAAGGTGGTAAGGTTGTTTTGTAAAAAAATTTAAATACATAGCTTTTGGGGGGAAACATGTTTTTTTGGGGGGGGTTACCCCCTCATACAGTAATTGTGGGAATTTGAACTGATTTCACATTTGACTCTGGCCTCCTGCCTTTTAATTGGGTTGAAAGATTACAAAATTAACATTCTTTTAGTTGTAAGTAATCGAGTAATTTAGTAGATTAATGAATTTCTGACTCATAACTGGAAATCTAAGGGTATATCATGAACTCAGGGCTCATATAATCATGTCTTCCTTTCTTTCTTCTTGATTCTGGTTTCTTCTGAGTTATGGCTTCATTCTCTACACCTCCCTCAGGTTCAAGTGTGCAAGGAAATAAAGTTGTTTCCTGATGTTTTAATTTAATGTCATTAGCACTGATGGGCTTGCTTGGAGAATGTTGCCATCTTGAACGAATTACTGACACCAAGGCAATATAATATTCTGATTAGGGTGTTAAGAGTAGAGGCCCTTTCACCAAAATTAAAACGATACTAATTTTGAGATTACTGAATTTGAGATTTTTAATGC